CAGATAAGCACTTTCATATGCCAGATTTTGTCGTTTGGCTGCCTCAAAAGTGTGGCAATGTTGATGATTGTTCGTGAAGGGCTTCTAAACGTTTTATGTAAATGTACTGCTCTGCTATTAATGATACGCTTTTTGGTTCATTCTTGCAGCTGCTATGCTAATGCTGTCCTTCAGTGCTTGTCATTTACACCTCCTCTGACGGCTTATTTTGCCCAAGGACACCACTCTAAAGGCTGTATGTTTCTTGATGGTTCCCTTCTATTATTTAAGCTTTGAAAATAATTTTCTGCTTCTCGTGATATGCTATCTGAGAGTTCTTTTTAATATCAGGTGCAAGAAAGGAATGGTGTTTCACTTGTGAGCTTGAAAATCTGGTTTTGAAGGCAAAGGAAGGGAGAAGTCCACTCTCTCCCATTTCTATACTTTCACAACTACAGAATATTGGAAGCAACCTAGGTAATGGGAGAGAAGAAGATGCACATGAATTTTTGAGGTTAGTGTAGAAACTCTGCTAGATGCCCCCCTTCAAAATATATAGTCTTACTTCTTTGCAGGTGTTTCCTCTATTTTGGTTTCCATCAGAGCGTGCTAAATCGTCAGATTACTTTCTAGGTATGCTATTGATGCTATGCAATCTGTTTGCTTGAAAGAAGCTGGAATTAAAGCAGTCGGCTCAACCGAAGAAGAAACTACCCTTATTGGACTGACATTCGGGGGCTATCTAAGATCAAAGGTAATGTTCTAGCATTGAGCTGGATGACTCATTCAGCATACCCCCAACCCTTCATGGCTTGGTACTTGTTCTGTCCAATTATTCTCTAACCGCTAAATCTTCTCTCTGACTTTTGTCCTTGGATGCTGTGTTTGCTTCGAACCAAGTAACCTGTTGTGATAAAGGTTACAGTGCAGCCAGCGCTTATTCACAACATCATGTTGTTTTTGCAGATAAAATGCATGAAGTGCCACTACAAATCAGAACGGCAAGAAAGAATGATGGACCTCACTGTTGAAATAGAAGGGGACATAAGCAAACTAGAAGATGCGCTCAGGCGTTTTACTAGCACTGAGATTCTAGACGGGGAAAACAAGTACCAGTGTGGCAGGTTGGTTATGTCACTGCGCTTTGTGGTTACGTTTTAATTGACTTTTGTATCTATTGTGTTATTTTAGACACCAGATCCGGACAGCATAACTTGAACTGCAATGCTTTTTACCTTTTAGATTTTATTGTATTGTACTGATCTGGTAATGCATTTTGAACCTGCTGATTTGCTGGTATGTAGTTACCACCGCAGAATATGTTGGTGCAGAACTTCCAAAACTGAATTTGTTTTTTAAGACTGTTGTTGATTCATGACTTCTGTGCTTGATTCATAGTTTTGGTTTTGTATGGTTAACCTTAGAGCTATATCACTTTGTGATATTTCATTCCTCAGTGGATTGCTGTTGGATTTAGATAGAAGTACTTAAGAATATGGTTTCCCATTGCCTGGTGGCAAATGGGACTTGCACATTTGCATCACAACTGTGGAATACGCTGCATTTCCTTGGTTCTGTTATCTTCTCACTGCCCAGCCCAGTAGAAGGAAAATGATTAGCTGGGTATGACTGACATGAAATATTTTGAGCTAGAAGTGGCAAAATGCTGCTGTTACATGTCTGTTGTGTTCTCTGATTCGCTTTATTGTTTTAATATTATTCAGATGCAAATCTTATGAGAAAGCCAAGAAGAAGTTGACAATATTGAAGGCTCCTAATATTCTTACAATTGCTTTGAAGAGATTCCAGGCAAGTCTTTTACTTTAGATACTTTATAATGCATCTGGACTAGAAGCTTTAATCTGACTAATTCTTGCTCTGCAGTCTGGTAAATTTGGAAAGCTCAATAAATCGATTCGGTTCCCTGAGATCCTGGACTTGGCACCATATATGAGTGGTACAAGCGATAAATCGCCAGTTTACAGGCTCTACGCAGTGATTGTTCACTTGGACATAATGAATGCTTCATTTTCTGGTCACTATGTGTGCTATGTTAAAAATAGCCAGAATAGGTGGTACAAGATTGACGACAGCGCGGTACGTTCTAAATAATATGTTTATGATTTCTTTTTCGCCTGAGCAAGATTTTTAAATAATGCACCATCTATCCTCTTAAGTAGTGTAGTTCACAAGTAACTTCAGTTGTTACTGTATGGAAACCCCTGCCTATTGAATAAATGTTTCACATCTTTAGGTGAGTATACACTCAGCACTCACCTTGTATGACCAGAAACCCCTGCAGCATCTATCCTCTCAAGTAGTAGTTCATTTGTGCCTTTGGCGAGTGTACACTCACCTTGTATGAATGGAAACCCCAGCCTAGTGAATAAATGTTTCACATCTTTAGGATCTTTGGACAAGGCTGATATAGTATTTGTGTGAAAATTTAGGATCTTTTGAAAAGGCTGATATATAGTATTTGTGTGAATATTTAGGAACGTTTTTGATAGCAAGGTTCCTAAATTTTGAATTTTCACACAAATATTATACCAGCCTTTCCCTAAGATCCTAAATTTATGAACCTTTTTAATCTATTGTTATTTGTTAACCTGCTATTATTGCCCTATGTTTTGGCCTTTTGGGTTGCTGTTTCTTTTTTTGGTGACACTCCAAGTACAATGAAGTTGTTCCATTAGATCTGATCTTGCTTCTGATGTTTTAATTAGGTAACAACGGTTGAACTGGAAAGGGTCTTAACCAAAGGTGCATACATGCTTCTTTATGCAAGGTAAAGATATTGTATGCTCGCTGTTTGCATATAATTTCAAAACTTATTTTAATTGGTCAATGTAGTGTAAGTTGACTGATTTGACTTTTTTCTTCATCTTGCAGATGCTCTCCCCAGGCTCCACCAGGGTTGATAAAGAATGGAACAGTACTGTCTCCTGATGTGAAGAATAATAAAGGCAGCAGTGCTTCCAAAATCCACTCGAAGGTGGGACTAATAAGTTCGAGATCAAGTGGTGATCATGAGTCACTACAACACCAGCCCAATTCAGTAGTGTCTGATCCGGATCATGAAGCAGCAAGTGTGGAATCTTTCTATTTGAAGTTCCACCGGTTGCAGAGGATCTTGGAAGAGGACTCCTCATCGAGCGACAACTACTCTTTCACCAGCAGCAGCAATTCTGATGAAGGCTCATGCAGCACTGATAGCACCCGGGATTCCACAAGTGCTGATGATCTCTCCGATTACATATTTGGTGGCTGGAACAGCAGCACTTGGAGGAAAGCAGCAGCAGATTTTGACACCACCACAACCTCCTCATCGTCATCATCATCTTCGTCTCCGTTGTACTCGAGACATTCACCCCTTTCGAACATGGAACGAGATACTTCAGCAGCAAGGTTTGCAGATACATCTGGAAGTCATGATCGGTTTTACCACGCTGATACGGTTGAGCATAATAATCACCGTAGTAGGAAATTAGGTAGTAGTAGTAGTTGTAGAGAAGCTGACTCGGAGAGATTAGTAGGATGGGTTAGTAACAAGTTGTCGTCATTGTCTTCCAATGATGCAAAATCTGGTGTACACATTAGGAGATCAGTGAGCGAAAGAACAGATTAAGCTTATTTGTAATTTTATTAGTCGGGAGCGGGCAGCGGATAGCGGGGGAAAGGGATTTGGTGGCTGATTTGGTAGTTCTAGTCTGTGTGACTGGAACAATCAGCTCAGCCCTCACCATTTTGTCGAAGTTCCCTTTTCCCCACGGCTGGCTTATTTTAACTTAGTCTGTATATAGGGACAGGTCCTTGAAGAGTGTATAGTGCAGGGGATGAGTCCCCAGGCCAGAAGAAGAAGAAGGGGGTTATGTTGAAATGTTGTATAACAGAAATTATAAATGCTGAAATTAGGTATATAATTTCTGTTCCATCCTGTTGTTTTTGGGTCGTCTGAAATATCTATTTCTGCAGGAGTCCGGTGACCAAGGACCGACCAAACATGGTGTTCTTAACAAATACCAAACTTTGCTGGGTACCAGAGGGCGAATTCATCAAACTTGATCAACCATTAACGAGTAACCATAATGTGGGTTTCATAACTCAATACAAAAGAGGGTAGAAAAACACTGTTCAGCAAAATCTATCTAACCAAAAAAACCAAAGAAAACTTTCTCTACGAGCACAAACAGTAGCAGTAGAAGCCTTGCGACAAGTTGGAACCAAATCATGCCCCCAACAACCTCCTCCAACTATATTATTCACTCTAAAGACAAGATTTGCAAACCTCATGCGAACCCCAAAATCAGAATTGAAACGAAGGAGATATACTGATATAATCAGTTGAAAATTCGTGAGAGGTTACAAAGTATTTCCAGCATCTATAGAAAAATGTGTAGCATGACAAATATTCTTGAACCGTTCCGAAATATTGCTATTGAAATTTTAGAGCGCGGGTTCGATCATCTTATACAAACATTTTCCGTATTTTTGAGGCTCTCCCTTTACATGCAGTATTATGGGCAATTTTGATTCAACGAAAATGGTTTGTCATCTCATGATGAGAAATGGTATTAATTTTTGGCCAAATTGAGTACAAATTTGTTTACGTAAATATAATATTGGTTGTAAAATTAGAATCAAGCACACATTTGTCGTTAGTTGAAGCAGAAATATATGATCATTTTTTTTTTATTCTAGCTCCATCAAGTGTTTGAAGATTCGTCATACTAGTATAACATGTTTAAAGTGTTCAAACTAATTGCAACCCCACTTCATATACTTCTGTTTTCTTACAAAGAAAAAAGTAACATCTGAACCAATTAAAAATATTTTAATCATATAAATATAATGGATTAATATCCATCTCAATATATAAATCATATCGGGTACACCATGAAGTACATTAATCACACACACATTAATAAGTTCAAAATCATAAAACAAAATAGAAACAGAAAAGGTAGCGAAACACACAGATCGCGTTACACAAATCGAAAGCTAGCAGCCAAAGCAGACCCTTATGGATAATGATGGTATGAGGAACTAGTAGATGCAGCAGCCACCACATTCAACAGGCAGAAGAGCAAGCTGGGAAAGATTTCAAGGAGTAATGGGTTTTGGGAGGTCAGGGAAATGGGGCATTTCTGGCACTTTTGGAAGTTCAGGTTTTGGTATCTCTGGCACTTTAGGCAGCTGTGGAACTTCAGGTTTTGGGAAATGTGGGAGTTCAGGTTTGGGAAGTTCTGGAACTTGAGGCTTGGGCAGAGGTGGGAGTTCAGGTTTTGGCAACTCTGGCACCTCATGCTTAGGGACTTCAGGTTTTGGCAGTTCTGGAACTTCAGGTTTGGGCAACTCTGGAACTTCATGCTTAGGGACTTCAGGTTTCGGCAGTTCTGGAAGCTTGGGGATTTCAGGTTTTGGCAACTCTGGCACCTCATGCTTTGGAACTTCAGGTTTCGGGATATCAGGTTTTGGCAGCTCTGGAACTTGGGGCTTAGGGACATAAGGTTTTGGCAACTCTGGAACTTCATGCTTAGGGATTTCAGGTTTCGGCAACTCTGGAACTTCATGCTTAGGGATTTCAGGTTTCGGCAGTTCTGGAAGCTTGGGGACTTCAGGTTTTGGCAGCTCTGGAACTTGGGGCTTATGGACATCAGGTTTGGGCAACTCTGGAACTTCATGCTTAGGGACTTCAGGTTTGGGCCACTCTGGAACTTCATGCTTAGGGACTTCAGGTTTGGGCCACTCTGGAACTTCATGCTTAGGGACTTCAGGTTTGGGCAGCTCTGGAAAGTGGGGCAGCTCTGGCTTGGGGAGATCAGGGAAATGGGGCAGCTCTGGCTTAGGAAGATCAGGGAGATGGGGCAGCTCTGGCTTGGGGAGAGGTGGAAGCTCCACTTTAGGCAGAGGAGGCAATTCGGGCTTCGGAAGCTCAGGCAACTCCAACATGCGGCGAGATGCAGCAGCAGCAACTCCATTGCTGCCTAAAACGATTCCCGCGGCGAAGAGCAGCAGCAGGGGAAGGGCGCATGTTTTCCAGTTGGAAGCCATGCCTTTGATCATCATCACTCTCTCTCTCTGCAGCTATGTGTGTTTGTTTGGTGGAGAAAGAAAAGAAAGGAATGGCAAAACTGTTTGGTGGTTGTTGAATGAAGCTGAGAAGTGGTGGAAGGGAAGGGGCAATTTATAGTGGTGGTGGAGGAAGAGAAAGTGGGAAGCGGCTAGTGGAGACGTAGGAAGACAGGACAAGTCTGATGATGACTAATGGGAGAGTGCTGCTGCTGATGAAATGTGTTTGTTGTTTGGTAGCTCAACTGCTGCATCCATCTGTCTGTCTATCTGCATCAGAAGCAGCGATTACAGATGGATTGAGTGATTAGTTAGCTCAAACTGTGGAGTCAAATTTGTCAACGAAGAAGGTCACCTGCATTATCATTATGCTTTGCTAGGCAAAAACAACAGGTATTCAAGAAGCTTGCTTGCAGCGGCCGGGAAGGGAAATATCTTGAATTGTAACACCTTAGGCGAATCCCACATCGACAAAGCACGGGAGAGATCCATGGTTCATAAGTAAGAAACCGACCTTAACTGATAAGACGTGTTTTGGGTGTAATAGAGGAGTTAAACGTGCTCAGTATGTTGTACAACAAGGATGGGTGACCTTCGGTTCGGGATGATTCATGTTACATGAATTCCCTTAAAAGAAGCGAGTTTTTCCACAACTTTTCACTGTTGCATACGATAAAAGCGGGATTAATTATTTTTTTTTATCGATGCAAGTATTAAATTAGAGATTTAATTCAATGGTTGAAAACAATTATCGGATCTTAGAATTTCCTATTTTATGTGATGTATTGTTAGAGTTATGGTGATTTTTTTTATAACGTATATGGTTGTCACACATGTACTGTAACATGTATTTATTTTAGGTAATAGTGGTGCAATTACTAATGTTAGTACTTAGTACATGGCGATCATTATTGGCCGGGTGCACCAATTCACCATTCTGAAGTGGTACACCCGGCGCATTGAAGAATTTCTCCTTAGTACAGTACTACCGTAGTCTGTCTTAATAGATATCTTTTACAATATCATAAAAAGAAGTGCTTATCCAACACAAATGTTAACCTTACAAATATCATATTGCAATTGTCCCTAGGTTCAATTATTTTGGAACCACCACTATCGATTGACTTTGTTACCGTCGTATGTGTAATAGTTGGAAGAAAATAATTGTACCAGATTCTCTTTTTTTGTAAAAGAAATCACTACAATGTTGCCATATTCAAATGTGAATTATCTTGATATTCCTATAATTATGCTTGATTTTATAGTATAGTACCCCATTAGTTAGTATATTAATCTATATCAAGAGAAGGGATAAGATTAAGTAATGGTAAAAACTCACTGACTCGTTCCTAACTAAACAAATAAAATCCCGACTAGAGTCCAAGTATAAACTCTAGTAGGGTGTAGTATAGGGCAAGCGTTTTAAAATGTCAACCCGGGCCGATTCATGTACTTCTACTTCAACCGTTTAAAACGTAATCTAGCTAACGGTTTTGAGTGAAAACTAAGAACTACAATTTAAAGCAAGCAAGAAGTTGAATTGTTGTGGACTCTTTATGAGAAAACTTCAACCGAGTATTGCTCCCCCTAGCCTTGTACCAAGTTGCAATAATCGGAACTCTAGTGCGAAATAGTGTGTTCTCGTGAGGATGGAGCAACTAGTGAAAAATTCCCACTCTCTTAGGCAATCGATTAAGGAAAGGCAATTAAGTTAGGTAACCTATCTCTCTCAATCAATCGGCTAAGGATTGCTAGCTAATCCCTTGGAGGCTAATCAGGAACGGCGACCAAGAGATAAAACACAATCAAATCGTGATGCTAAATCGATGTTTGGAGGGTGTCCCTAATCACCCTAGAAGTGGTTACCTCAAGCATTATATTAAAACACACAATCAACACACATAGAGTTCAAATCCAACAACCTATCACATTTCTAGGCTAGGGTTCACAATACCCCAGTGAAAAAGAGAATTATTCCATAGCTAAAATAGGGATAACAGCAAAGAGGAGAGAAAGAACCATGGTGTGGTGTTTGTCTTCTTTCCTTGTTGTTGAAACCACCATTGGAAGATGAAAACCCTAGACCTCTTATTCTCTCTTTGTTCGTCAGTTTTTCTCTCTAAAATAAGAAGAAGAAGATGCCAATCTCTCCCTAGGACCCCCCCTTCAAGTTTCAACTCCCTTCTCCTTTTATACTCTAGTCGTGCGCTTATCGCGGTCGATTATCACGAGCGTGGTCTCGAAGCCTTGCTCGTGATCTCAGGTGAAAACACATCATTTCATTTATGGCCTTCACGGGTTGGATGGCATTATCACGGTCTGGTGGCCGTGATAATTTTTAGACCCGCGAGGTGTACCAAACTTTCTGGACGTTGATGTTCTTCACGGTCGGCTGACCGTGATAAAGTTGGTCTAACCATTATCTTCGCCTTTTTGCCCTTTTCGATACGCTTTCATCCTCTTTCGTTCAGCTTTCACTTCCAAAATACCCAGATATCTCTGCTTCGTCCAGTTGCCTCCACCCGGATGACATCTCGAAACCCCAATTTCTTGCAAACTGAATTGGCAGCATTGCCACTGATCTGTGGTTCCAACAAAATAATAATATCATGCTAGTGGAGTTGAATTATGAGCCAAAGAGAACGGGAGAAGGCTCCGCTTCTAGTTGCATGAACATTCCAGGCAAGAATTTTAAAGGCTAATAAATTGGTGTCACTTGACATAATAGTTAAAATTAACAAGACGAGAAAGGGAGGGAGGAAGAGAAGAGAAGAGTTCATCATAGTAATGTCGAGCTTCGGGGGGTCTATCCAACCTTGCCATTCGTTTTGGTCCAGGATTCCTCCATTGGAAAGGAGGTTTCTAGCTGCGTAGTCACGCTCGCTCCTCTGGTCGTCATTTATGTCCAATCTTTGATTTGTTGGAGCGTCAAAGTGACCTTCCGTTCTCTACTCCTACCCTTCTTCTCCTTAATCGAGGACCAGATTTGTAAGGGTTTCAAAGAATTGCTCCGGAGCGGGGTTCCCTTTTTCGGCATTGTAAGTCTAATCCCCTGAGCTCTCTTTTTCTCTTTCCTTCGTTTGGTTCTCGACACCGTCGACGTAGCGGTCGGGTCTATGTTTCGGTGCAGCAAGGCTTCATAGCATTGGGCTTCTATTATCTGCATATTAGTGCCATTGCTTCCCTTAATTGTCTGGACTCGAGTCGCATTCGGGCCAACAAACATCATCCCAGCTTGTTGTGTGTCGTCCTGCTGGTCTTGAGGTACGAGTGGGCCTGATGAAGCTGATGATTAGGGCTGGAAGTTTGGTATCGGTATTCGGGATATACCGAATACCGTACTAAATTTATCACTATTTGGTATTACCGAATACCGACTTATTTTTTAGGGATTGGGATTCATTGTGGAGTGCTATTCAGTATTCGAGATTGGGATCGGTATATACCGAAATATCAAGAAATACCGAACTTTAAAAATTAATGATATATAGCACACAACCTTTAGTCATTCCTCACTCTTTCACAACTTAGAAGACCCCATCTAACTCAATTTTAACTTTCCAGCTGTAGTAACTCTCGTCTCTCACCTAATCTCCTTTTATTTTCATAACACAAAAAAAACAAACACTAGTATTAGTCGTCTTTCAGCTTTCAATTCATCAAATTAAAGATTACCAATGACAAGAATTTGAGATGTCACCTCTCATCCATTCTCTTTATCTATATCCTAGCTCTAGACAAACTCAAGACTTTTTGCCTAGTCTTTTTGCGCTAAATTAAAAAATTGCAAAGATAATTTCGTATTCGATAATACCAATTGGGATACCAAAATATTTAGAGTTTGAGATTGGGATACCGAAATTATTTAGGGATTGGGATTGGGATTGACTTTAGGGTGTAATTCGGTATTCGGGATTTCGGTATTTGATATTGGTATACCGATATCGTACAGATTTCCACCCCTACTGATGATGAGGCCTCCCTGGGTCCGTTACTCTTGGTCGTCTTTTGGCTGTTCGAGTTTCCTAACATAGGAGAGGGGCCCAATAAACATTTGTCCTTAACGGCTGGAATCGTAACTGCGATGTCGTTCCCTTTATCCTCCACTTTCCCATTCTTCATCGACCTGCCAGTTTTCTTTTCCAAATTTTGTGTCTGTGGCGGTAATTGTTGTTGCTGATTTTTCCGGTTCGCTTGATTTGGAAGTTTCGCCGTGATTTCCTCATCACCAACATCCATTACCCAATACTAGAGTTTGCTTCCGAGGATTCTCCAGCGACGGCGGCCAGCGGCAGAGGCTGGTTCTCCGTCACATCGAGGCCAGTCCGATCACGATAGACAAGAGGGCATGTGACTTTTGTTTGGCCAATTTTACCACACTCAAAACACACAACCAACAGGTTCTCAAACTCAACCTTTTGCCACTTGCCATCCAGCCGAATTCTGGGAACCAAAGGTTTGGATAGGTCCACTTCTATTGCAATTCTCGCAAACTTTGCTCGTTGTTGGTGCATGGTATGAAAATCGAGCTTGATGGCTCTGCCAATGAGATTCGCTAGCAAGAAGAGCAGTTCCTTGTGGTAAAAGTGGATGGAGAACCCAGGGAAATGAACCTAAACAACTATCGTGTTTGTTAGCTTGTCTGTGACTCAGAAAGTTGGCGCCCACTATTGTACCATCAAGTAGTGGTCGAAGATAACCCACGGTCCATCAGACAAAGCTCTGAAGTAGTCTTGGTAGTTCCACAATTTGACTAAAAAACACTCTCAGGGCAAACACCTTCATCGAACTAATTGATCTTCATAGGGCCCTGAGACGGTTGCAGAGTGTGGAACAACCTATGGACCACCCAGCAGGCAGCAGGCGTACCACCAGGGTTCTTTTCCAAGAAGCACTGAGCTTCGATTTGAAATTCTCTGAGATTTTTCAGTTCTGGTTCCCCATTAAAGGATCTTGGCAAGATATCATGCTCGCCAACCGGTATCAGTAGGGCTAGGGTGACAGTATCAGGAGATGTTTGCCCTCTGACCATCACACTATTCTCTCGCCTTTCGTCCACGCAAGCGGCTGCCTTTGTTGTCGTTGGAGTCGCTGAAACTTGGGTTGCATCCACTTGCATCTCAGCGGCGATGTCCAACCCGTTTGTTGACATAGAGAGATCTTGTGTTTTGTGGGGAAAACAAAAGCCCTCGCTCACCGGTGTGTTGTCCGGCGGCCGTCCAAGGGCATCAGCACTCTCTACCGGAGCAGTCAGCAGAAGAATTCGTACAGAGCATATTTTCCTTCATGTCCTAGTTTTTACAACAATTATTATAGACTTATATTATCACTATTCCATGCCTATGAAGGAATTCTTAATGTTATGCAACATCATTACCGATTTCAATATATCAATGATTTATAGCATCCTTATTAACAATTTTCACGTTTTTAGGTCATGTTTATGACTAGCTAATCATGGCGTCTTCCAATGACTTACATTATTAACGTTTTGAGATCAATTGTTACCGAGTTATAATATCGTATTTGAGGGGAGACGAAAGAGTTTCTTTTTTTTTGGTGATTTGTTGTCTACAAAGTCAATGGGTGGGTAATAGGAGCACTTCTACTTTGCTTTAAAGTACAACTTGAAGTTGTACCATAACATAAAGGTACAACTTTAGTTTGTACCAAAAAGAGATTTTACAAAAGAGTATAGGCACAACCCGAAGTTGTACCATAACGTTAAAAGTACAACTTCAAATTGTACCATAAAAGCAAAAGCTAAAGTATCAATACTTTAAAGCATTGTAAAATTCCTCTGAGTAATAGAATTCTGGTAATTGAGTTGATTAATACATTTTATTATTAATATTTTTGGTGACCTGGACTCCTGGAGTGCAAATTGGACAAGATTAACAGAGTTTTGGAAAAAATATATATATAAATGACCATATACGCTCAAACATATTTTTTTGTATCGTGAAAAATTAAAATTTTGTGAATATTTTTATGCAAAATGCAAACATCTGTCATTTATTACTTAAAATTCCCTTTCACCCCTTCGTCTCCCCCGTGCTAAAACCTCCCCACCACCCTCTTCTTCTACCTCCGCCAGCTCCGACTTCCCCTTCAACCCAGGTCAGAATATCATCCACTCTCTCTCTCTCTCTCTCTCTCTCTGCCGAACTCTTCCGCTCTCTATGTTGGGTTTGGAGTTTGGACACGCTTAATCCATCGAACAAGGAATATGTTAACGAAATTTGGCACTATAAGCTCCAATATATGAATAATGCAGTTTTACCCTAATTTTTGTTTACCGTGTGTATGTCGCCGGATTGAATAAGTAGACTTGGGGTCTAGAACTTTTTCACAGTTTCTTTCTTCTTCTCCTAGAAATCGATATTGCTTTGCTTCCACTCATTTGTTGGGCGCATTTGAGAATGAGAATCCGTTTTGCTCGTCCAAAACCCTAATTCTATACCCTTACTGTTCGGAACAGCTTAAAGGAACGAATGATATTGATTGGTTAGTGTCGCTCGTTTGTTTCCAGCAGCAACAGGGATGGTGGATCCATGGTGGTCGTTGCTAGGAGCAGCGATTCCAGCCGTGATTGCAGGCCAGGCTTTCAGGATCAAGAAGAAGAGAGCCGAGGAGCAGAGGCTGAAGAGCGCCAGGGGCAGGGAGAAGAGCTCCGACGAGATCTTTGTCTGCGAGAGGGTGTGCACTTCCAAGAGGATGTTGAAGAAGATGGGCGCCCTGTCGAAAGACCCGATCGTCGACACCTGTGTCACAGTCTGTGGCGTTTCGGAGATCGATGCCTGTGCGGATGCCTGTGCTCGAACCGTGTGTGTGAACCAGCACCAGGTTCCCAACTGGAATGATGTTTGCCTGAGGAGGTGCCAGAGCGAGTGCCTTAGGCTCTCGAATACCTCTGCTGCTTCTTGATACATTGGTAGTAAGAGTTTTGCCTCCTTGTATCTTTAGTTAGTGATCATGTTTGATGATAGCTTGCCTGCTATATCTTTTCATCTTACTGATGAAGCCACTTTCTCTGTTTTCTTCCGTCGTCTCTGATTTGATGAACTTGGTAAATGATCATGGCACTTTCACCAGGTTAGTTTATTTCAACCATTTCCATTTGCAAAACTGGTTAGTGAAGGAATCGTTTTCTGAATAACCAGACTCTCATAAACCAGAAGACGCTTGGGTGGGGGGCAGGCGCCTGAATGTCGAATGTTCTGCGCATTTTATTACCAGTTAGATTTTTTTGGGAGATGTATAGTGTGAGTGTGAGTTGGCAGCAGGAACGTATATGCCGGCTGATGAGAGTTTGAAAGACCAGAGCTAAAATTCCCAGTTAGCTGCCGGGGCTAAGGGGAGAGTTTTTGGGATGATGGAGCAGCCAACTTGTGTAAATTTGGAGCACTTGCTTGTGCTAATGAAGAGATGACCAAATACCTTTTGTCATCTTAACATTATTGAGAATCGAGGACCAGTTTATCCAATAACTTTCTGGTATTTTGATTGTGCTGCTGGCATTCCTTGGTTCATAACTGTCTCGACATCCGATTCCTTGAGATCAATTTCTGTTAGCATTTTATTACCACCCTGTGCATTGGATGGCTGTGGATCATCGGATGCTTTGCAAGCTCGAATATGTAGCGTGAGCCTCAACCCTCATGTACTGCATCCCAAAGTCATCCCTATCGCTGCTAAGCAGCGCCATAGACAACAAGTTACTGACTTCAGAGCTGAGGAAAGGTTGCGGATATGTTCTCCTACATATATGCCTTTCCAGATCCCTTTTCTCTGCTCCACAAATCCTAGTGGGATTAGGAGTCAGTCACACTATATCGCAGATGCTTGAAATAAACCCAACAGTAGAAAGGCGCTTTATTGTTAAGGCAAAGGATTGCCGAGCGTTAACAACTTGCCGCTGCTGACCAAGGTTAACAACTTGACGCCGTTCAGTCAAAATCTCAACTTCACAAACCTCAAACAGCTTTAGAAATGTTTAAAGCTTAATGAGCAGAGCATAGCCAAGTAAGCAGGCAGTTCTACTTATACATAACGCTCGAGTTCGTTGTAGTTTCTAATTCAAATCGTTGTAGTTCTGCTACAAAACATCCATCTCCGAAAAACACAGGATTTGTCAACGAAAATCCAGTTCGGGGCTTGCAGATCGCTCGGCACATACTTGGACAAAAAATGCAAACGATTGTTGGAGAGAAACAAGTCATCGATAACATAGAACTAGTTCAACCCAACAAATGACATTTGCTTCAATCCATCCGAAGGAAAACATTTGCCCCAATTACAGTGCTGCCTGTTTGCAAATGTTGCACAATTCATTATGAACAATGAAGCAGTCAGTCATCACAAAGGATAGATCTAAGAAAACCCTAAACCACATAAACCTGAGAGAACCAAGAGAGGTAAAAACACAAAATGTTACAACACTACCTCTTCATTCCTATGCATCCATCCCCCCCATACTGAGAGTGAGAGTAAGAGCAGCAGGCAGCTCCTACAAACAACTACCACTTCATAACCACTCTCCATCAGTCACTCTTTGATGCACAGGAGGATAACATAGTTCGTTGCCCGACGTTTACGTTTGCCCTGGCAGCGGATTTTTTCTCGGCCTGCCTCGTTTCCTTGGTGCCACTCCAGATGAACTCCCTTGCACGGGCAGGGATGGTGGCACTGTCGACTGTGGCACAGCAGGTGTTACCACTGGAAATGTGGTAGCAGCAGCAGCTGGCGGCGGAGGAGGAGGAGGAGGTGCACCATTTCTATCACTAAACTGCTGCTGCCCTCCTCCGCCGAACATTGGTGGCATCCAATTAACAAATGCAGAACCAGAAGCAGCAGCAGCATCCGAAGCAGAAGTTTTGTCTCCATTTCCAAGCATAAATCCCAGAGGGAAAACCCCCCACGAGCAGTAATAAGATTCCTTGCCCGGCACCATAGGCGGCAAGGAATGTATCAAAGCAGCGTGGAAAGCTCTCTCGCATTTCTGGCATCTCAAACAGCAATCCTCATAAACCCTAGGGTACTCGTACATTATGTAACAGTAGGGGCAAAGCGTCCAAAACGAGGCCATTCTGCTCGACCTCCGACTACTACTACTATGATTCATGTCCCCGGAGCTACTATTACTATTGGAATTGACGGCAGTTGGAGCGCTGTTGTTATTGTTACTGTCACCTGGATGATTGTTCTTGCTAGACGACCGCTGGCTCCTCCGGACGGGCATTTTGTTGCCGGCGCTGGACAAATCGACCTTGGTGTACAGGCTGAAGAAGTGGCGATCGAAGGGGGATTTCTTGGAGGAATCGGAGAGGACGGCCCACGCGTCGGCGACGAGCTTGAAGGCGTGATCGGCGAAGGGGAATTTGTTCTTGTCCGGGTGGAGGAGGAGGGCGAGGCGGCGGTACTGCTTCTTGATGAGGTCGAAGTCGGCGGCGGGATCCAGCTGGAGAATTGAGTACCAGTCGTGGTGGTGGTCGTCGCTGATCTTCTTGTCGGAAGAGAGGAGGACGTCGGCGATGGCCAAGATCTGATCGGAGCCGTCGAGGAGGGGATCGGTCTCCTGAGCTAGGACGGCGAAATCCTTGCTCCCGGTGAAATCGCGCGACTGGAGGAGCTTCCCGGCGACTCCGAGGAGGCGTTCCGCTTCGGCTCTGTCCGGAGCTCCGCCGTTGGGAGTATCGTTCATTGCTTCTCTCCTTCTGTTGTCGTTGTCCTTCAGTCTCGAGCTCAGGGTCGGGTTGGGGAAGTTTCCGGTTTCGGTATTATTGGCTGGATTGGGTGGAAATGGAAATGGAAGAAAGAGGAAGGGGAAATAGCAAATGAATTATTAAATGGGCGTTGCGATCTAATTGGATGAATGGGAAACAGGTCAGATCAGCCTAAACCTACGAGAGCAGATGAGCTGGATAACGCTGTGATCTGCATAATCGTATTTATTGCTTATTGGGGATTATACCATTTTTATATAATAATAATAATATAAGATTAATTGTATCGTATCAAATCATTATATACTATAATGTCTGTTTAGCGAGTGTTATTGTTTGATCGGTGGTACAATCGGTTTATACCAGTTCATGCCAGTTTAGTAAGTGGTATGGTGTGATCGGTGGTACAATCGGGTTATATACCAATTCATGTCGGTTTAAGCAAAGCATGTAGGAAAGTGGAAAATCATCAACACTAAATGAGTTTAGTCATATGATGATCACTTCCTCTCTCGTTTTCTTTCTCTCTCCGAGTCGTTAGTGCCTCCTGCAACGGGGATCTTTTGGCCATCTTGTCGGGTGACTGATGTCGGTGACTTTCTCCTCCGCCTCTTCTCTTATTCTACTGATTCTTCTCATCGACTTCTTTCGAATTTTGTTTCACTATGACTACAATTGAGAAATCGTGGGCTGATCTTTTTGGGATCGTCGAGGCGGATCGGCTTGTTTACATAGAACCTAAGATCGTTGAGAGTGACCTAAGGATTCCTACGGAGCTCGTCCAAGAGGGAATTTCTATATGGGAGCATAGTCTTGTTGGGCAATTCCTCCATTCTTTGCCCTCTGTCAAACAACTCTAGATTTGGGCAAATCGCTTCTGGAGCAAATTGAGACTAGTTAGGGTTTCTCGGTTTAGCAATCATCTTATAATGTTCCAATTCCCCAAACGCAGCGACACCATAATGGGTCTTCGCCAGTGGCCCTTGGCACTTCATGAATGAAATGTGTTTCTTTTGCTAGTGGACTCCAGGCATTTGTGCAGTGAGTTGTAGTTCTTTTATTCATATCTAGGTTTGCTTCAATGATCTTCCTGTTGAGTATATTATTGGTCTCATCTTAACAAGAATGGCAAGTATGTTGGGCATTCCGCTATGGTTTGACCAATCTACTAGATTAGGAAGAAGAATGGGTTTCCCAAAGGTTGGCGTGGAGATGATTATTGAGTCTGCCTTTCCTGAAACTCTGAAACTTGTTCTTGATAACAAACTAGCTTTCTTGGTAAATCTTGAGTACTGTAATCTCCCTTTAGGCTGCAAAAGATGCAAAGGTTTTTGGGCATATGTGTGAGGAAGAAGTGGATGTTGATCAATCAAGAGAAGAGTTGAGGGCTGAGAAGTTGACTGGAGATGTGAAGGATGAGACTGAGCATCATCAACTCTTTACCACCGCATCCATAAAGAGAGAATGATGACAATGTGGCTTTGGCCGGGCAAAGGGTGATCACAAAAGGATCATTGCCAAGGATGAGACTGAGCATCATCAACTCTTTACCACCGCATCCATAAAGAGAGAATGATGACAATGTGGCTTTGGCCGGGCAAAGGGTGATCACAAAAGGATCATTGCCAAGGAACTCCTCAAAGTTTGGTGGAGGTTTCACAATAAGCTCATGGCCGATGCAAGCCTCTTCCACCAACTTCATCCTTAGCATGAAAACCGATTGCTTCATATACCACCCTTCCTTCTTCATATGTCGATTCCTCCTCTTGTGGAGTCTCAAGGAATTTCTCTTCCTTGATTTCTACCTCCTTCACAACTTCTTTTCTTATCTTTCCTCGCTCTTCCCCAAGCATGTATCGGATAACAAGGTTCCAAGCGATGTCTTTGATAGGCTCACCCCCATCTCCTCACTTATAACCTCCTCTTCAAAGATTGAAATAAAGTGGGGAAGGGTGGTGGCTACCACAATAGGATATTCGCGTTCTTAAGCATCATTGTAGCCTTCCGTGACAACTCCCGACTACTCCAATTTGTCCTCGGGGCTTGCCTCTTCATCTTCCTCTTCTTCACAAATCGCTAAAAGTCAATCCTCAGTCAACCGTGCACAAGCCATCTCTATCGTCGAGTTCAGCTTCTCCATTCTCTTGCTAATTTCCTCTGCTTCACAGGAGAAATCTGAGTAAGGTGGATCCATGGTTGGGAAGGCCAGTCCAGAGTATGATCTCTCATTATCCGACACAAACTTCTCCACCAATAGCTCAAATTGGCTCTTCATTTCTTGTTGTGGAAGGTGGTCTTCATAAAATGGTTGGAACTCTTGAACATCTAGGGGATATAGTTGTTCAACATAAGAAGGTGGTTGGTAGTCGAACCTGAATCTGTAGTCTTATCCGCTTTGATTTCTCCATGATGTCCTAGGGTAACACTACTCGGATGTTGGTTGATACCCCCACGTATAGGAGAAGCTAATGGGATCCATGATTCATATATGCATCATAAAAAGATAGTACACAAAATAAAATAAAAGAAAAAATAGAAAATGCTAAATTAACAATATTTTTCTTTGTCTGAATAATAGACCGTGCTCCCCGGCAACAGCGCTAGAAAACTTGGCTCACTACTACCCAATCTCAATCATAGGCCAAGTGTAACCTATAACCAGTGTAGTATAGAGAAAGGATTTCAATTATCAAACTTGAGGATCTATATATCCTTACTTCAACAATCTACAATTTATCTATCAATCAAAATATTGTTTAGAGCTAATTAACTAAATAAGCAAAGAATTAAAGAATGTTTATGATAGAAACACGATTTCTTAAGAAAATCGGGTTTATACCCCATTTATTATTATTAGTATTATTAGGATTTTTTTAAATAAGGTTAGTGGTCTTTTAGTAGAATTAAAATTATTATTAGAGTTTCCTAGTATTCCTTATAAATATTTACTTTGTCATTCATTCACAATGAAGCAAAAATAATTATTCAGAAAGTATCTCTCAAAAATCCTAATCTCCTATCCTCTAATTTCTCGATCTCTAGCCCTCTAAGGCTTCAACCAATTCTCTATTCTATTCTTCTTCTCCCCCAAATTCTCAATCTCAATCTCTATTTCTATCTTTTAATCCCTAAATTCCCAATTCTCTTCTATAATCCCTAAAATCTCAAATGTCGATCCAATCTGCAAACCTGTTAGAAACTATGTACTTTGTCATTCATTCACAATCAACCAGATCTTGCGGAAGAGTCAGTAAAGTTGGTCAACCTTGAGGGCAAGGTTGGTTTCAAGGGGGGAGAGGACATTGATAGAAACACGATTCTTGTGGGTTTGTATTATTAATTATAGTAGAATAAATATTATTAGGGTTAGTAGTATTAGGTTATTTATCAGGTTTGTTCCCGTCTTTTGCTATAAATATGTACTTTGGATTTACGACACAATCAATAAGAGAAGTATTAAGAATAGTGTCCCTCTAAACTCTATTCTTTAATCCTCTAAATCTCGTCTTACCTTTCCCAAAGGCCGCTGGTCATTCTACCTTAATTCTGCCCGATTCCTTTTCTAAATCTCTAATCCACAATTATGTTCTTTCTATCATAAACCCCAATTCTTCCCATATATCTATCAAATCCCTAATCATCTATCAATTCATCATTCTGTAATCCTATTCTGGACGTCTTAGATCAATAGGGTTTCTATCAGTTTAATTCAAGTGAGAAAAGTTTACTCGGACGATATCCCCCCTAGTCCCATGTTGTTATGCAAATGTTGTACTCTAGTACGATAGGTGAACTTTATATACTGTCAAGAGATATAAAATAGCTAGGACCCCCTATTCGAGTGCATTCTAGCCCACTTAATCGATCTAATTGGAGGGGCGTACCACACAACCTCAAAAGATGACTAAGCCAATCAATTCCACTCCCTATGAGATCAACCTGAATTGCCATAAGGGGATTTTCTCCCTCCTATGTCAATTTGCCCCAAAATTGGGGGATTTTATCAAGAACACTCAATTTGCATGAAAAATACCTCAATCAATATATAAATAACAATATCTTGTAAGATAACTTTTAGTGCAAGAGAGTTATCTCATCCTTAATATGATCTATTATGAAACCCATGAGTTATGAAAGGAATAGGAGTGTTACATTTGATTCAATTGGTTATAAGAATAAGGAGTTATCAAAGATTAATAACTCCAAAGAGTTATGTTCCTATTGTAACTCTTCCATGATGGATGGTTGAGATGAAGTGTAAAGATAAAACTTAATAGGAATTTTGGTCCTCTCTCCACCTATAAATTGTATGCTTTGGACCATCACAAGAGCATATCATAAGAAACACATATATCAAGTGACTTATAGGCTAGGAGAGAGGATCCCAAAATTCAACATTGCTACTTCTTCATAAGCTCTCTCTCAATCACCATGGAAGGAGGTATTCTTCTAATCTCTTTTCTATTTCATGTGATTATCATGTTGTTCTATCGATCTTAGGGTTTCATGTAAATTCAAGGTTTACATATCTATCATCACAAAGAGTTCACAAACTACAATTTACAACATCATGGGCTAGGATTCACATCATCTAAGTGAATAGAGGAACTACTCCACAGCTAGAGAGGAAATAACAGCTAGAATAGAAGAAAACCCCATGTGACTTGCTTGGATGGATGCTTGGAGAGAAAAACCATTATGTCCATCTCTAACCTTCTTATTAGGAGTGGCTATATGGTCCGATCCGGTTAAATTGGCCCAAATTGATCCGGTCCAGTTCGGTTTTTTTGAAAATATAAGGACCAAAGATTGGATTGGATACAGTCCGGTCTTGATCCGGTCCGGTCCCAACTCGGTCTTGATTTTATATTGAGTTTGTGGGGATTTGAGTGGCCTAAGTCCTAAAAGGGTGATGAGTTGGTTTTGTTTTGTACTAAGTGCAAAGGTTTGTGACCGTTTATGCAAATTACCCTTAAGTTTTGGGTGTTGAGCTCTCTTATCCGGTCTTTATTCAGTTTTTGATCCGGTCTCGAACGGTTTTTTACCTCAAATCTAAGCCCAAAGATTGGATTGGATTGTTTACTATCCAGTCCCGGTCCGATCTCGATCCGGGTTATACGGTTCGGTTTCGGGACCAAAAAACCCGGACCAAATAGTCAGCCCTACTTCTGATAACATGAACCGAACTGCTATTGTAACTGATTTAGTGATTCTACTGGCCCAACCGTTGAACCAATTCGGTTCTTATAACAATGCTCATTCCCCAAACAAAATATCTCACATAAACCCAACTTATCATAAAATAAATATATATGAGTATCGAGATAACCGCATCTACGTGCACATCTCCATTCCTAGATCAATCTAAATCTCATAAGCTGAATATTCTAAGGATGTTATAAAGAGGGAACATGTGCATACTACTCGTAGCTTTACATTAACCTAGGAAAGGTCGAAAATTCCCTTGAACACACCAATACATATATCATTGTAGGGATTGTACGATAGCTTAAGTTAATTAATAGGATTATTTCAGTTTAGTTTGGGGAGTGTAAAAAGTCGCACCTTACGCGTGCACATGGTTTGTTGACATGTGGCCCAAAAAGGTTTCCTCTTAGATACATATTAAAAGTAATGTCAGCAATGGGATTCCTTGAAGAGTATGTTAAATGGGTTGAAGCTTGTTTTAACTATCCTATGGTCAGTATTTGTTTTAATGGGTACTCCATATATGTTCATCATGGCTATGGAGTACTTCTCCTGTCTTATGAGTCAAGCTGTCATTACAGAGCAGATCCGTTATTACCCTAAGCGTAAAGCATTAGAGACAACTCACCTGCATGTGTTTCGTGAATGGCCTCCTAGTTTTCACTAATGGGTCGATTAGGGCAGTGGCTAGAATCAAAAGACTATTGTATAAATTTTAGGACTAATATCATTAGGAAATCCGAATTATCAAGAAAGTGTCATTTGTGTTCCGAAATATTCAATATTCTATTTTATGTCCCAACATATGATAGTTGTGTGTCATTTATGTCCTGACGATTTCGTTAACTATTATAGATAACGGTTGGCCAAACGATAGATAGATGACGATTTCGTTAACCATTAAGGTGCTTGTGGATAAGGTAACAGCTAGAATCATATCTTGGCAAGATCATATATATGTTGGGCACGCGGAGAGAATGCAATTAAGCTTTTCTGTCATAACTAGTATAATGCAATACTGATGACACTCTTTCTGTTGCCGATGAAAGTGTTAAGAGAAGTAGAAAAACTGTGCAATCAATTCAATTTCCTGTGGGGGCTGGTGCATTAGAGAAGCGAAAGAAAGCTTTGATATCTTGGGATAAGGTGGCATTGCCGAAAAACAAATGGTGGTCTGGGAATCTTGGATTTCAAAATTTGGAACAAGGCATGTGTTATCTGGAATCTTTGGAATCTGTTGGCAGAGTCAGCTTCTTTATGGATGGCGTGGATTAAAAAGGGGAGTACAAGATAAATTAGCACCAATCCATATGGAAATTGTCAACAAATTTTGCAGGCTCCTAAATATGGAAGCACATCCTTAAATGTCGAGGTGAAGCTCAGCAACATCTATCTATCCTTGTCCTTGGATGGAATGGCCCTTACTCGCTGTTCGATAAGCTGGTATGGGAAGGCTATACGTGTTGCTCATCCTGAAGTACAACAATCTGGGGAAAGCCTCAGATCTCCAAGCATAGCTTTCTGGTGTGGTTGATTGCAATGAACATAATCATCACAAAAGAGCCAATGAAAGTTGTTCCCTTGCAGGCTGAGGGTGTTGCTGAAGTTGAGAGCTCTCTTACCCCAGGAAAGGATCAAGAGAAGTTTGTTGGAGATACGGTGGAAGATAAAGGCAAGAAATTAATTGAGGGTGTCACTCCTCCCATAACTTACATGAGTGCATTGCCATCTCAAGAGGAGTTTAACAAGGTCATGCACTCAATAACTCTTCCAGTGACTAAATGGTCAAACAACAAATTAGCTACCTGAAGCGTCAAAGTCTATAGTCTCCCAATGGGTTTTACTCATAATCAAATAAAACTACAACTCAAAGGTCACTCTCACAAGCCAAGAACAAAAAATCCAATTACTTGATCAAAGGAAAAGGTAGCATAATCAAACCTCAATAGATTTAGCTAGATGGCAAATCACCACTAGGTTTACATTCAATCACCAAAATCAGTCTATACACTAGAATTCATCTCCCCTAATCACGGTGGCTACCAACATCTATACCATTCATTATCTTTATTTTATTATATTTTTAAATTAACGATTAAGATTAGCTAAGGGTAATTTAGGAAATGAAAAACATACCACACCTGATTACTCTATATATTATACTCAAACCCTAATACAACCTATCTACCTAGCCGCCGTCTCTCCCTTCTCCCACCCCATAACCGGCGTCCCTCCCTCCCTCCGGCCACCCCAACCCCACCCCGTTACCCTTGCAAGCCATTTAATATCATAGGCTTTGGTGACCGCTCTCAAAAACCCAAACAAGCCATTCGCCAGCTTCTTCTTTCACGGTCCAACCAGAGTTGGGAAATCACTGCTCGCCAGAGCATTAGCAATGGAGTTCCTCGGGTTGACAGATTCGCTGGAAAAGGTGGGATGAATAAAAACCCTAGATCTGATTTTTTCGCATTGGTAGTGTATTTTTCGTAGTGGTAGTGTTTTTTTGCATTGGTATTGTTTTTGTCGCATTGGTATTGATTATCATGTAATGGTATTAATTTGCATGTATTGGTATGTATTCAATCTGCAATGGTATTGAATTTTTGTGAAATGGTATAGATTTATATTGGTAGTTTTCGTGTAATGGTATAGATTTATTTCTGCAATGGTATTGATATTTTTCAAAGTGGTAGTGATTGTCTAATGGTGGTAGTGATTTTGTGCTTTTTTTCTTCTGCAGAAAGATTGAGAAAAATAAGGAAACAGGATCTGACTGAAGATTATGGAAGTGAGAGAAAGAGAGAGAATTGTAATTAATAGATTCTTGTAACTACCTAAAATTAATTAATACAATTTATTTTTCATACCCAATTTACAAAAGACTATCCAAATTATGAAATCATATTTTTCTGCTCGGATTTGCAACCTTATCCTTGCTTGAATTCACAATAGGGACACATCATAGCATAGGTTAGAGCGTAACCTCATTCATGACCTTTAATATGATGTCACGCTTAGTCAATTTTCAGCAACACTTTAACTCGATTAGCCATGATCTTCGTTACGGTCATGATTTGGAACCTCCTGGCTATGAGCTCACCTATCTTGGCCTTGATCCCTTTTGTTTCTCGTGCTTGCAATTGATAACACCTTAATTTTCTCCTATTTCTTAGGTGTTTGAATGTCATAATCATCACACCTCGGTCATTTTGGATTGATATTGTGCTATATTTTATTAATTGTTGATATCTTAGGATTTAGCAAGACGTTTACGAGTCTTTGACAATTTGGCTCGTAATTTGTTCATTCACATCTTATTCTTGGCTAAGTTGTGTTTCTTTCCTAATCTCAGATCCTAACATGGAAAAGAAGGAGGGTACCTAGTTTCGTGGCAATTGAAGTAGTTTGAAGGTTGAAAAGAAGAAGAGAAGAAGCTCTAGCTAGAGTTAGGTTAGGGCTGATAAAAGGTTCGGTTATGGTTAAACCAAACTGACCAGGTGTTAGCTGATAGCCTGATGCCGATAAAAGGCTGAAACACCTGACCGCAATCGATAGTTTAATCAGTTAGCAGTAACTGCTAACCATACATTATTTATTCAAAGACCCACATCGTAATGTTATCGAAAAATTTCCTACAAATATATCTTAATAAATTCTAGGGGTGGAGTTTCGGTTACCAGTTAACCGGTCGGTTAAATCAATAACCGATCGGTTATCCACTAACCGATAACCGAGATAACCAAATTTTGGTCGGTGTTCGAAGGCTGGCCGAGATGGTTCGGTTAACCGAAAACCGAGATAACCGAAGCCTAAATCCCTATTTCGGTCGGTTGTTGGTAATGGGGGCCGGCAGTTTGGTTAACCGATAGTCGATCGATCGGTTACCGGTTATAACCGAACTAACCGAAGCTCCACCCCTAATAAATTCTACTAACATCCATAAATTATCCATATTATCAAATTTCTAATCTAATTCATATATTATTTATATTGTTTTGGTTAGATACAAAATGACATAATTTTTCCTTTATGAACGAGGATCGGTTGGAAAACGGATTGAGGTTTGTAAAAACCCAAACCTGATTCAACTCACAAATTTTAAAAACAAGTAAAATTCACACCCGACCAAAAACCCGTCAATACTGAATTTTACTTTTTTTTACCGAGCTGAATCTGGTTGTGTACCCCACAAATTCGGTTTCAATTACCACCCTAAGCCATACCCAATGCACATTATTTTCCAATAATACTCATCCCCAATTTGAAAAGTTCAATCATATATGGGATATTTTCCCCTAACAAAAGCCTCCTCGCATGAATTGTGTGGTTTGTGTGTTCAAAACATTTAATTAAAGAGAGTAGTCCCTTTCACCCTGCCCCTGGGTCATATTCCCAAAAAAAAATCTGCACAGCTACTTTCTTTCTCCACAATTTTAGAAGGGGGAAAATTCCCCAAAAAAGAAAGATGGGAAAAGGAATAATAATCATAATACTAATTCACAACTAAGATAGCGTTTTCTTTTTTGGGTTGGTATTGGTAAAATGGCCTGCTTCCTCCTTCTCTCTCATTTTCTTTCTTTCTTTCTCTTTATTATTATCCATTTACCTATCATTGTTTGTTTAGCTATAAAAAGGGAAAACCGACTTTCCTTTCTTGAACCAACCCACACCACTCCCCAAAACTTCCCCCATTCCCCCAACCCTCTCTTCCTTCCCCTTTTGTATCTCAAGAACAAAGAAGCAAGAAGAAGCAGAAGCCAGAAGCCTTCCTTTTTCTCCCATCTCTCCCTTTTTTTGGGTTTCATTTTACTTACCCTTTTTAATGCTTTACTCCTAAATTCCTCTCAAGATCAGACCTAGCTACCCAAACAAGCAAGCTAGAAAAAGAAAGAAGATCACAAAGAAAGAAGGAAGATCCCAACGGGTAAGGGCAACTTCCATTAGTTAATCAAACTAAACGCGACCACTCCTAATCATTATTTTATTTTGTTGGAATTTAACTTGTTCATTATCTCTGAAGACAGACAGACAGAGTTGCTCGTCCTTTCCTTTCTCCCCCTAGCTCCCTTCTTCTTCTTCTTCTTCAGTTTGTGGGTTGTTTTTTTTTTTGGATCTGAAATCAAAATCCCCCCCATTCCATGTTTCCACCTGCGGAATTAGGGTTTCCTCAACAGTACCAAAAACCCTTTGTTTTAGTTTACCGACATGTATAAACAAAACTTCATTCGTTTGTTTTGGTTGTTGAAGTAGTGGTGGGAAAAAAATGGCGAGGGAGAAGATAAAGATAAGGAAGATCGACAACGTGACGGCGAGGCAGGTGACGTTTTCGAAGCGGAGGAGAGGGCTGTTCAAGAAAGCCGAGGAGCTGGCCGTCCTCTGCGACGCCGAGGTCGCTCTCCTCGTCTTCTCGGCCACCGGCAAGCTCTTCGAGTACTCCAGCTCCAGGTAAATATATATATATATATATATATATTCACCACCTTCTTCTTCTTATTTCTTACTTCAATTTTTTTTACTGTTTAACCCTAGCTGCTAGCTATGAAATCATTGAAATGAAACCTCATTAACCACTGCTTCTACTTCTGCTGTTAATGTGTGTTTTACTGCTATATTTGTGTTGGTTGAAAAGACGTTAAGAGTAGTCGCGAGTCAGTCAGTCAAGTCATCGGGGTTAGACTTTTACAGTAGTCATTATTATGGTAACAGGTTACTACTTCCGGAGAATATTATCATATCTCAAACTCGATTTAATTCTTCGTTACAATATAAATAATTACACTAGTATAGTCGGAAGTTTCATACCGGTCTCACTCACAATTATCTGTTGTTTTTAGTTATATATATTTACTTACTCTGCAAAAAAGGCTTCGTATTTCCCACCATTTGTTCTGTGGTCTACAAATAGTAATATGTTATCATCATGGTAGTACTTTGGGCACGGTTTTTCGTCCTCCAATCACCATATTTGTCTGCCGGTAGATTTCAGGTCGATATATATATAGTATTATTCCTAGTAGTTAATTTTATGGGCATTTTTTGTTAATTAACATTTCCTTCCTGAATAAAACAAAAAATGATCGGCCTGTTTCCTTTGCATGAAATAAGATTAATTAAGATTTATACAATCTGCGTAGAAGTTGCATTGATGGGGTTTCTTCATTAAAAATCTATAAGTAGCTATATTAATATGTTGGTGGTTTGGTACATATCTATCTTAACCATTGAATTAAATCAAATTTGGGTATGATATTGTACTTTAATCTCTAATGAGTTTTTACCAATTCGATATTGTAAACAGAACCTCGAAGATCTACCTAATAGAAAATAATAATCGTTGATTATGATACCGAAGTACACCCAATGACAATATCCCTTGGAGCATGATGTACTCCAAGAGTATGCGAGTGAACATTGACATATAGGTCTAGTTTTTTATGCTTCCAATGTAAATGATCACCTCCTCTAAAAGGATATCTATTTTGGAATACTACTAACTAATAACAGTAACAGCTATGGTTGTTCTGCTTTAGTTCCAACTTAATTAATCTTAAAATCGGCATTGGCTACTATATATATATTGCACGAAGATAGCTTAGGGACCCAAATCAAAATTCAGCAGACGACTGCTATTCCTATTGAATTACTGTCTTTGTAGTTAAAAATCTGTTAGTTGCGCGGGAGAAATTAGGGTGATATACAGTAAAAATGTTATTATGATGATAACACTAATAATTAATAGACAGAAAGCAAAATTTGGCATACTTTTATTTCAAATGAGCTGATTTTTTTTAGATAAAACACTCTGGCTCTTGATTGTTAATCAATTTGAACTTCAATGTGATCGCCATCACCTTTTGGTTTGGTCGAGAAAAGAAGTTTTTTCCATTGTAATAAGAACCAAACCGGATCAACTGTTGGGTCAGTAGGATCGTCAAACCAGTTACGTTATCAGTTCGGTTCATTGTTTAGAAGGTTTATTGATGGATCAAATGGTTTTTCACGATTCAATATAAAACCAGATGAACCACCACGATTATATCAACGGTTTACCAACGTTTTCTTAACAATTAACCACTGAACCGTAAACCACAAACTTTTCAAATAACTCACTCAACCCTTCTTTAAGTGATGAAATATCACAATAAATTAATGTTGTACCCAAACAAGACAATGAGACTCAATTACCTCATTCCAAATTGAAATACACATTTGGGGTTGTTTAGATGAATTAATTGTCGATGTGGTATTTATAGAGTGAAATAACTCATCATTAATTGTTCATGTGGTAATTTCATTTTATTTCAGTGATAATTGGATCAAAGTATATCGTTTGGTAGAACCATGCACATGCGGTATTTGACATGTGGTATTTGACAAAAACAAAGGGTAAAACGTGTTATTTCATAATAACACAAGGGGTAGGAGTTATTTAAAATAACTCGCTGACTAATTAACTCATTTTAATAAAATGCTACCAAACAAATTATTTGTGTTCAAATAAGTCATTATGAGTAATTTGAACTCAAACAACTCACTCAAATACTTCATTCAACGAGCCCGAAATGTTACTGACCAAAATAATACAATATTTTGATTCAAAATATTAAAGAATCAAAATAATTCATCTAAACGACCCATATATCAAATTGTTGATCTATAACAAGACAATCATGTACATAACAATCCATAACAATGTGGTCACTCAAATTTGTAACTTTGATATACAATGATGACTGTAATTTTCCTGTGGATTGGCTCTTAATTGTCAAAGTGGTTGTTGGGTTCTAAAGACCTACCTCAACGACCTTTGAAACAAGTACACATGTCAATTGTACGTCATCTCTAATGCTAGTATAACACGTGGATCGTCTCTGTTAATGGCTACTCTATTTTAGGGCTGGTCGTTCGGTTATCGATTACTGGTTAACCGGCAGTTAAACCGATAACCGTCGGTTAGCCGATTAACCGATAACCGAAAATTAAACGTATTGGGCGGTTGTCGGATGAGGATTAAGTGTACGTGTCGATTGACCGAGTAACTGACGGTAATAACCGTCGGTTAATCGACTAACCGAAACACTAACCCCTCCCCCTTTTACCCCCCAAAACGACGCCGACCCTCCTTCCTAAGTTCCTAACCCTAACCTAATCCAGACCAAACTCGCCCCTTGCTTCGCCTTCTCGAATCCCTCCCACCCATCTCGTTCTCTCCTCTGCGTAGCGACGAACCAGAGAGCAGAGACGCCGAAGAACAACGTCGTCGCCGTTACGCCTTCGCTCCGCCGCCGCCCTTCTTTGCTGCGCGACCTCGTCTCGGCGCCACCATCGTCTATCGCCTCGGCCTCCTCTGCTCGCAGTCCTCCTCCTCCCGCGCAGCAGTCTCTGTGCGACCCCGCACCTGTCGAGAGCTCCGCCGCCGCCCTTCCTTCCCGACGAACAGTGCCCCTGCAGGCCTGCCTCGTCATCTCCCTCCCTGAATAGCGCCCCTATTGGCTGCTATAACCGAGCCGATTGTGTTATTGCGGTTAGCACGGTTAACCGCGCAACTAATCGATAACCGACCGATCGGTTACCGGTTATAACCGAAGTAACCGAAAATTCAGCCCTACTCTATTTACATGTATATGGTGAATGCTGTTCTGAGATTGCATGTGTGTCTTTTTTTCCGGATTTATGACTATATGTATGTATATTTGTTATTGTAGCATGAAAGGGATACTTGCACGGTATAGCCTGCACGCTAACAACCTCAACAAGCCTCAACAGCCTTCCCTTGAATTACAGGCAACTTTTCTACGACCTGCTAGCTACTTTCTTCTCCTTCTTTTCTTATCCTTGTGGAGGCTATAGCTAGCTTGATCATCAATGCATATATATATATATATATATATATCTACGTTTCAACTTGTGTATATATATATATAGCTGGAGAACAGCAATTACATCCGTCTGAGCAAGGAAGTTTCTGAAAAGACCCATCAACTCAGGTATACATATAAATATTGCTCGCTAGCTAGCTAGCTAGGTATAAAAAGGACTAGGTAGTAGGATTAATGCAGTAGTTAGTGTCGTTTAATTTTGATGTTAATAATAAAACCATTTATGGGGTGCAGGCAGCTGAGAGGGGAGGATCTGAATGGAATGAGCATCGAGGAACTTCATCAGCTCGAAAGGAAGCTCGACTCTGGTCTCCAACGAGTCATTGAAACAAAGGCTAGCTAGCTATACCTTTCCATAATTCATTTAATTTCCACTGGTTATCTCTTTGATGTCCTCACTTTTATCGCTTCGGTGTTGTGCCATATTCCCATAATAGTCATTATGGGCAGACGATTTATATTAAAATGATGACAATCGTCGCTTATTATATGACGATTCAAAATTTAAATTGATTTGAAGTATTTAGGATTAGAATATATGATTCGGAGTTTAGGGCTCATATGCATTGATTAGTTGTGAATCTAGCTATATCTTATCATCATATTATTAGACCAATACTCTACCAATAATGTGATGTATTAATTTTTAGGGTTTGGTGTATAGTGAGTGAAAGTTATGTGAAATTGATTATGTTTAGCGCCTCTTAATAAAGTTTGCGCTACCTTGATCATTCTTTTTTCTGATTTGTTAATTCTTTACAGTCGGACAAGATCAAGAACGAGATATCTTCCCTGGAAACAAAGGTGCGTGCGTGCGTGCATGGACTTACTAATCAACTTCAGTTCCACTAATTCAATTACATTTAGAAGAGGATTTCGGTTTGATGATTGGTATTAACTTTATCTAATCAGTCCAAATCATGCATACGCTTGCAGGGAGCACAGCTGCTGGAGGAGAACAGAGAACTGAAGCAGAAAGTAATCATTATTTATTGATTTTCACAGAATGCATGGGTTTAAAAAAGATGGCCATAATTATTGTGTTGAACATAATTAATTTGGTGCAGGTGATGATGATGGTAAGGATGAACGAGGGGAAGGAACCGGCGGCGGCTGCAGCGCCGGCGAATTATCTGGACATTAACATGGTGGTAGCAGCGGCAGCAGATGATGACGATGAAGATCAGCAAGAAGAAGAAGAAGGGATGTCGTCGGAGTCCGCCGCCAATGTTTGCAGCTGTAGCAGCGGCCCTCCGGTTGAAGATGATTGCTCCGACACTTCTCTCAAACTTGGGTCAGCTTAATTAATTCTACTTACAAAATCTATGTATACAAGTATTAACAACGTACCCCCATCTGCTATAATAATTACTGGTTTTTTAATACGTATATGCAGGCTGCCGTTTTGAACGCTTTGACAGCATGCACGAGGCCAGCAAAAAAAAAGGGCTGCTGCTGTATGTTCGTACGTAATAATGTTAAGAGTCGGAGACATAGAATGCATATGATCAATTAATTAAATCTTTGGGTGTTGTTTACTGTTCGGACTGTCATAATTATCTCGTCGATAATGGTAGCTTCGCCGCGCTGATCATCATCGCCCAACTAAAATGACTGGAGACTGATGTGTTAATTAATTAAGCGGTGGTCTAATGTTATGTGAACTGCTTATTATTGCCACGGATGACTTTTTGTGACTGTTTTAATCAAGTTAAGATTTGGTGATGATGAGAATATATATATATGGTGGCTACTTCGGTGCACTCACTTTTTTTGGTGCATTCAGTGCACCCACCTCTAAAAGTGGTCATAATACATTAAACTTTGAAATTTAATGAGTTGTATTAGTCTAATATGATGATATAACATAGAATCCCAACTAATCAACCCATTACCCTAACCTATTAACCTTCAATTTTGAATCTCAACCCAAAATCCCAAATTGTAAACCCTAACCCTAAATTCCTAAACCCTGAATCATTCAAATTAAAGTGAATCTTGAATGATTCTTGTACAAATTCATGTGGTGCTTGTTCATCATACCACAAGTGATGATTGACATCGTTTTCACATGAATCGCCTGCTCGGAATGACGATTATGAGACGGGTGCATTGAATGCACTCAAAAAAAGTAAGTGCACCGAAGACATAACCATATATATATATATATATATATATATATATATATATATATATATATATATATGCCCCCTTTTGTAATTGCATTGTGATGCATTCATGCGTTAATTGACCAACTTTGTTGATTCTGTTGTTATTACTATTATTATGATTATTATTATGTTTAGTTGGTTTTTTTATGTTTGGTTTAATTTGTTATTTGAGATATTTGTATGGGTTTATATCTATGACTATTTTTTTATATATATATAAGGGTGATATAGGTTTTTTTTTTGTGATTAAGGTACTACTTAAGAGATTCGAACCTGGGACCTCCAGGTTCTAGGCTAGTGGCTAGTGGTATTAGGTGTCAATCGGGCGGGTTCGGGCGGGTTCGGGCTGGGTTCAATCGAGTTCGGGTTCAAACGGGTTGCGGGTTAGTCGGGTTGCGGGTTCATCGGGTTCGGGTTCATCGGGTTCGGGTTCAAACGGGTTGCGGGTTAGTCGGATTGCGGGTTCATCGGGTTCGGGTTCAATCGGGTTGCGGACAAATCGGGTTGCGGGTTCATCGGGTTTTGGGTCGGGCGGGTTGCGGGCGGATCGGGTTTCGAGTTGTTCGGGCCAGCGCATCGAGTAACTTACTCGTTACCAACTTACACATTTTATTACACTAATTTAAAATATTTTTCTCAACTTTGTAACCAATTTATTTCTACGTCGTATATATATACTTAATTTTTAAATAAAACTAGTCAAAATGTTAAATCAATTTGTATGACTTGCAAACTTGTTATGTAATTAATCATAATTGGTAAAATACACTTTTTTTTTTTTTTTACCAATAGATCACTTGAATTACCAAGGCAAAAAGATAGCAAAGTTTACAACCCAAGTCCAAACCATTGTTCAAAATCAAAACTATCTACAGACGCAGGTAACAAGGAAAGGGTCTTCCTAGCCACATCATGGGCCACCCAGTTGCTACTTCTGCCAACAAACGAAATGCCAAAGCGCCGATACTGCTGTCGCAGGCTCAAAATCTCCACCAATATCCTTCCACCCTTCAAATCCCGCACATCCATCTTCTGCACTTTGTCGATGACCGCCTTTGCATCCCCACAGAACATCACCTCAGCTAGACCCTTCAAAGAGCACCACCGAATTGCATCCCGTAACGCCACCAACTCCACCAGAAATGGATCCACGAGCCCTGCATACTGAAAACCTTTAACAGCTATGATACTCCCTGTCCCATCCCGAACCACCAACCCCCCAGCACCATGCGACCCTGCCCGAACAGCGCCATCCACATAGCAGCAAAACGAAAATTGCTCACCCTGTCTGCGCACTCCCCCCATGTCCACCGACGCTCGCCTCTCCTGCACTACCACTCCCTCCCCCGATTGCATATTCGCAAGCCACTCCCTGACTTGAGCGTCAAATTGGCGCGCCAGACTCCTAATGTCATACTGCATATAATCAAAAACCACCCAATTCCTGCTCTTCCATATTCTCCATAATAAGGCAACAAACCTCACAATTTGTTCCGGTCCAGGATTTTTCTCAATAAACTTCCGGAAGACTAGAGCAAAATTCAGCGGAGAATTCACTATACCCTCAATCTCAATGCCCGAATAATTCCATAACTCCACCGCCACCCGACAAGATAAAAACATGTGCTCCAAAGTCTCTAATGGGGCCCAACACACCGGGCAACGTGGAGAAATTGTATTATCATCTAGCTCCGCCTCCTCATGATCCGCCGGCACCCTACCAGTCTTCTCAATTACCGCCTCAGCCGTAGGCAGAACCCGCCTCAGGGCCTGCCATACAAAAAATTTCAGCTTAGGAGGAATGGGAAAGTTCCATACCTTGTTCCAATCATCCATACCGAAGAAGGAAACTTCATCCTTCCATCCCGGCATCCTCCTGCTTAATTGAAAGGCCAAGTGATATCCAGAACGCACCGTGTAAACTCCATCACCCTCCCAACTCCAAACATAGCTATCCTCCACCGGCTGCTTGGGTAACGGAATCGACTGAATAGCCCGCACCGTCTCCGGCAAGAAACACCGTTCCAAACATTCCCCACACCACCGACCCATTCCCGGCTCTATTAGCGACTCCACCATCGCACCCGTCAAATCCGGTGCCTGAGAACGAAGGACAAGACTCTCCGGGCGGATTCCTGGGATCCAATCATCCTCTAAAATGCTTACTAACGATCCCTCTCCAATCTGCCACCTGAGTCCCTGGCACAAAAGATCCCGGCCATGTAAGACACTCGTCCATCCCCAAGACGGTCTAGAGCCCCGCCCTGCCTTGAAAATGGTTGTCTTAGAAAAATATTTGCCCTTCAAAACCCGCGCCAGGAGCGATTCAGGCTCCTTCCAAATTCTCCAAGCAACCTTGGCCAGCAAAGCCTGGTTAAAATTTTCAAATCTCCTAAATCCGAGGCCGCCATCAGCTTTGCTCCGACAAAGATTCCGCCATGATACCCAGTGCGCTTTGTCCTTGTCCGCTGAATATCCCCACCAAAAGCGGGCCATGTACCTGTCTAGCTTACGACAAAGTGTCACCGGCAGTAGGAAACAAGACATAACATAGATAGGTAGAGCAGAGGCCACCGCTTTAAGAAGAACATCCTTCGCTGCCCACGACAACTGCCTCTGTTTCCATCCCTGCAGTTTAGCCAACATCCGCTCCTCCAAATATCTAAATGTCTCCACCTTAGATCGCTGAACCAAAGAAGGGAGGCCCAGATACTTGTCTTGGACACCAATCGCCCCTACCCCAAGGATAGTTGCCATCTCTGTCACATCCGGAGGATCCACATTACCACTAAAGCATACTGCAGACTTAGCCAAATTCACCTTCTGCCCACTTAACTCCTGGTACTCCTGAAGGATTCTCAACAATTCCTCACACTCACCTTTAGAAGCCTTCAAGAACAGGTAGGAATCGTCGGCAAAAAACAAATGGGACACACTAGGACATCGAGGATTAACTTTTACTCCCGCCAATCTTTTAGCCTGAATGGCCTCCCGCAAAAGAGCCGCAAAGCCCTCCGAACAAATGGCAAAAAGAAGCGGAGATAATGGATCCCCCTGTCTCAATCCCCGCGTCGACCTAAAATAGCCCATTGGCGTACCATTCATCATCACAGAGAATGACGCCGTCGAGACGCATTCCTGTACCCAATCAATCCATTGTCTACTAAATCCCATCTTTGTCATAATCGCAAACAAGAAATCCCACTCGACTCTATCATAGGCCTTTTCCATGTCGACCTTCAGAGCCAAGTAACCTTTCTTCCCTCGCTTTTTGACAGTGAGATAATGCATAACCTCATGCCCGATCAGTACATTGTCCACTATCTGGCGCCCCCGAATGAACCCATTTTGCTCCGGTGAGATAATGGAAGGCAAAATGCTCGCCATTCGTTCCGCCATTATTTTAGATATAATCTTGTAAAAGAGCTGACACAAACTGATCGGTCGAATCTGCGCCATGGACTCCACTGCATCCACCTTAGGAACCAGCGTCAACCAGGTGTGATTAAAACTTTTTAGGAGCCGCCCGGATTGGAAAAAGGACTGCACCGCCTCTATCACATCACCCCCAATGATATCCCAGTAGGCCTGGTAGAATTGACCAGTGAATCCATCCGACCCCGGGGCTTGCGTAGCCCCGATGGAAAAAACGGCTCTCCTGATCTCAACAGCGGAGATTTCGGCCGTCAGGCCCCTAGTCATCTCCTCCGTCACACGCCCCGGAACCGGCAACCCCGCTACCCTACCAGCCAAGTCTACATCTTGCCTCTCTGATCGAAATAGATCCTCATAGAATTCACTCGCCACCATTCCCTTCAGAGCTTCCTCAGTCACCCAGTCTCCATTCTTATTCAGCAGCCCTTCAATGTAATTCTTCCTGTGTCGTGCACGCGTGACTGTGTGAAAGTACGATGAATTCTTATCCCCTTTATCCAACCACCGGACCCTCGACTTCTGCCTCCAGTACTCCTCTTCCGCCGCCCATTGTTTAGCAAGTTCACCCTCCATCTGACCAATGCGGACCCAATCTATTTCCTCCTCACCCTTCAGGCTCTCAATCTCTGTCTGCAAAATCTGAATATTCCGCGCCGAGTTACTCGTACCGGCCCGGCTCCAATCATATAGTAGATGCCGAAGGGCCTTCAATCTTTGCCAGAGGCGAAACATCGGCGACCCAGTATATGTTTGTGTCCAAACATAACTGACCAGTAAACGCGTCTCCGGGTTCTCAGTCCAACGAGAATCAAATCGAAACAATGGTTTAGAATGACGTGTAAACGGCTTATCGGCCATCAATAGTGCCCTATGATCCGAACCCAGATCCGTACAATGCTTCACCAAAGTCTGTGGAAACTGCTCCGCCCACTGAGGAGAGACTAAGACCCGATCTAGTCTTTCCCTTATACACGCCGTTCCCATACGCCGATTAGACCACGTAAATTGTGGACCCTGGAAACCAATGTCCTGCAACGCAAGATCATTAATTAACTCCCAAACCCCCGCCGCCCCATTGGGATCCCAAGGCAATCCTCCCGATTTCTCCGAGGCCTCCAAGACACAGTTAAAATCACCCA